ACCAGTCTTGCAGGTGGAGGCTTAGCCCATTACGCTACAATGCAGGCTCCACATCTGAGTTTCCAGTGTCTGGAATCACTAGTGAATCATTCCAGGTTGTCCCCATCCCTAGCCCTTGCCTCACTGAGCTCCACTTGTACAGTCCCAGCTCCACCAGAGATAAGTAGCCTGTTGGCACACCTGGCCACTATGGATGCTCTGAGTCCTTATAGTGACAATCCCTCACAAATGAGAACAGTTTCTCCCTATACATTACATTTGCTGTGCTAGGGGTAGGTCAGGGTTCAGGGTTGTGACAGAGGATTATATGGACTCTTAAGACAGCAAATATCTTTATACACACAGCCCTTTTCCTCCCTGGAGAAGGATGCATGCTGCCAAGGTAACAGGACTGGAAGGATTTGGGTTCAAACTATTGCACTGCTCCTGTACCATGACTGGGCTCTGACCATCACGGCCTGCCGCTCCATTGGCTCATTCATCCTGCCAGACTTATTTCTGTATGTTGGGCTCTTTCTTTTCATTAAAAATTAATTAATTTACTTTTATTTCAGTCAAAAGGCTGAGAGACACAGAGAAATAGAGAGACAGAAAGACAAAGATCTACCTGCTGGTTCATTCCTTAAATGCCTGCAACAGCTAGGGCTGGGCTAAGCCAAAGCCAGGAGCCCAGAAACCAATGTGGGTTTCCCACATGGATAGCAGAGACCCCAGTATGTGAGTCATTTGCTGCCTCTCCGGTACACATTATCAGGAAGCTGGATAGGAAGCAGCGAAGCTAGAACTGGAACCAGGCACTCTGATACAGGATATAGGTGACCCAAGCTGCGACTTAACCACTCCACCTAATGCCAGACCCTCCCACTGACTTTTTGAAAAGCCCGAGGCAATCATCATTAACAATATCCCTCACTATGGGTTCATCTGGTTCTTTCCTTGTGTCATTTCACTTGCTCCTCTTGCCTCTGTGTTGCTGGTAAACTGGAAGTTAGGTTTAAAGCCTTGATAGCTTCGGCTCATTTTGCAGGTAATGCCATAGCCTTTGGATATTAAGCTTGATGACACATGAAAGGGTGCCGACAACTAAATTTGTTCTCTCTTCAGCAACTAGCAAGTGCTTTGTGGGCTCAGATTTTGACAACTTAGAAATATCTTTTTTTTTTTTTTTTGGACAGGCAGAGTGGACAGTGAGAGAGAGAGACAGAGAGAAAGGTCTTCCTTTGCAGTTGGTTCACCCTCCAATGGCCGCCGCGGCCAGTGCGCTTGGCCGGCGCACTGTGCTGATCCGAAGGCAGGAGCCAGGTTGCTTCTCCTGGTCTCTCATGGGGTGCAGGGACTAAGTACTTGGGCCATCCTCCACTGCCCTCCCGGGCCACAGCAGAGAGCTGGCCTGGAAGAGGGGCAACCGGATTCAACAGATTCAACAGAATCCGTTGCCCCGACCAGGACTAGAATTCCGTGTGCCGGCGCCGCAGGCGGAGGATTAGCCCATTGAGCCGTGGTGTTGGCCTAGAAATATCTTGTTCCCCATTAACCTCTCATATAATTTTCTGGCAAATATTAAAGATTCTCACAAGAATCAGTTATCACTTCTGGTGGCAAAATGGTAATTTTCTAATACTTTCAAGTCTTCTATATTTATTATTGGATGTTCTATAAAAAATTTCTCCCACTATTGTTTCTCCTAAAAAGTGATGGCAAATATAGTTTCCCCTTTTAATTACTAATTCTCAGAGTAAGGAGACAAAGGAGCAGTATCACTGTCACCTGTGAAGGAGACCCCTTCGTTTTTGTTTCCCATTTTTGGAGTATCATGGATTCATGGATTTTTTTTTTTTTTTTTTTTGACAGGCAGAGTGGACAGTGAGAGAGAGAGACAGAGAGAAAGGTCTTCCTTTGCCGTTGGTTCACCCTCCAATGGCCGCCGCGGCCAGTGCGCTTGGCCGGCACACCGCACTGATCCGATGGCAGGAGCCAGGTGCTTCTAATGGTCTCCCATGGGGTGCAGGGCCCAATACTTGGGCCATCCTCCACCGCACTCCCTGGCCATAGCAGAGAGCTGGCCTGGAAGAGGGGCAACCGGGACAGAATCTGGCGCCCCGACCGGGACTAGAACCCGGTGTGCTGGCGCCGCAAGGCGGAGGATTAGCCTGTTGAGCCGCAGCGCCAGCGGATTCATGGATTTTATGTATTCAATGTGTTATAGTAATTACAGCTGCTGTTCTCTTTTTGATAACAAATTGTTTCTTATTTGCTCAAGGAAAGCTGTTTCAACCCAGTTCCTGTGTTTATTTTTAAATGTTTATTTTTAAATAAATGTTATTGTCTCATGTTATTTATTTGAAAGAGTGACAAGGTTGGGGGGTGGGTAGAAAGAGATCCTATCCACTGGTTCATTCCCCAAATGCTTGCAATAGCTAGGGTTGGGCCAGGAACTCCATCAGTTTGCCCACATGAGTGGCAGGGGCCCAACTACTCAAGCTATCATCTACTGCCTCCCAGGTGTATTAGCAGCAGGCATGCTTGGTTGAAACGCAGAGATGGGACTCGATCTCAGGGACTCCGATATGGGATATGGTCCCCAAGAAGTGACTTAACCCTCTGTGCCACAAGGCCTACCCCTAGTTCCTGTCTTTTTGATGGTCATCATTTGTCTTTGCTTTTGGCACAGTAGATGCCCACAGTTCACCTTTTATTTCTTCTACTCCAGTTGTTTCTCAAAGAAGCTCTGTGAACACCCTCTTCTTCAGATATTAGGCAGTTCAAACGTTCCTCCACATGAGAGCTGTTGACTAAGACTATATTCCTAATACCGGTGGTAGACAATAGGTGGCCTCTGGGCTGCCACCTGTGCTCAGGTTGAGAATGAAAATTTCACAGTTATCTTGGTACACACTGGAGGAAAGGAGAAATCCCTTTCCCCTTAGTTCAGTAGCTGAGGTACATGGATTAAAGCTGGCAAAAGATAGTTAATCAGCAGAAGAAAAACTTTATTACACATGCACATGAGAACTTGACAGAAGTGAAAAACCAACAGGCAGTGAGTCCTGGGCTTTACAAAGTCTGTGTTGTGGCATAGTGGGTTAAGCCACAGCTTGCAAAGCTGGGTTCAAGCACTGGTTGCTCTGCTTCTAATCTGGCTTCCTGCTAATGTGCCTGGGAAGGCAGAGGATGATGGCCTAAGAACATGGGCTCCTGCCATCTATCTCGGAGACCAGGGCCAAGAGCCTGCTCTCTGTGTCTTACCTTCTCTCTGTAACTGCTTTTCAAACAAACAAACATTTTTTTTTTAATCAAAAATAATAGAGGTTTGGGTTTCCAGGGGAAGGTGACTAGGAATTGTGTGGTAAATAAGGTTTGTTTATTAAGGTTTGTTACGCAGTAAGAGTTCTCTTTTCTGATATGGTAGAGAAGCACATCTTTAAAAATGGAAACATGTCACCTTTACAAAAGGAAATTTATGCCTTGCTTTTAGGCAGAAAGGCGGGGGGGGGGGGGGTGTTTCTGTGTGATAGGTTCCTCAACTGCCTTCAGCTCAAAATAATCCTAATGCCAAAATGGCATGCTTTGGAAGGCATTCTCTGTTTCTCTTCAATCCTTTTTCTTTTTTTTTTTTTTTTAATTTTATTTATTTGTTTGAGAGGTAGTGTTACAGAGAGAGGGAGAGACAGAAGGGTCTTCCATCCACTGACTCACTCCCCACATGGCTGCAATGGCTGGAGCTGGGCCAATCCAAAGCCAGGAGCCTGGAGCTTCTTCTGGGTCTCCCAGATGGGTGCAGAGGCCTGAGCACTTGGGCCATCTTCCATTGCTTTCCCAGGCCATTAATAGAGAGCTGGATTGAAAGGGGGACAGCTGGGACACAAACAGGTGCCCACTTGGGATGCTGGCCCTGCAGGTGGAAGCTTAGCCTACTATTCCATAGCTCCTGTCCCTGTTTCTCTTCAGTATCTATGTGGATTACTTTTCCAGGTTTTAAAAAATCACTTGTTGCATTTACACATGCTGTTTTCCCTCCACAATTAGGTGATCAGCTCCTTAACAAACACATCTATCTTACCCACACCCTCCTAGCATAGAGCTCAGGCACTGAATAAATATATGGAAACCCACTGTACTTCTCTACCAGATCATAAATGCAACAGCTTTGGAAAGGAAATGCTCAACTTGTTAGGGTAATGTTAGAGTACCTAGATTTAAAACTTTTGAAACCTATACAGTACCTTTAAGGCAGACGCTGGATACTACCACCTCCTACTGCCCCAAGTCTCTGGGTTTCTCTCCCTTAGCTTGACTTTCCCTGCACTGCTTTTGCTTGCAAATCAACCCCTTGCTAAAATTAACTGACTCAAAAGAGGGAGTGGTGCAGCCAGCCCTAAAGGGTCTCTGGTCACAAGACTCCTGAGCTCATTTATCTCTTCTATAGATGGAGTGTTTCAATGTTCAGTATTGCCTGGGGTTGTTTTTCCAAGTAGCCCAGGCCCTGAGCAAGAATTATCTATCACCTGACTGACTGGAGGCCACTTGGCCATCATCAAAATTCCCAAAAGAACACAGTATCAGCAGGGCAGATCAACGACACTGGCACAAGAGCTGGACACGCACCCCTCAACCCCAGCTTTGGTCTGTAAGATCCCTCACCCCGCTTCCCGGAGGGAGCCCAGGAATGAAAATCATTGCTATTTTACTCACATCAGTACTGTCATCTGCAGAAACCAGTAGTCGGCTTCCACTTAAAGTATAAAACCCTCGTTAGAATTTGGACTTCGCACAATTCGGCTTTTTTTTTTTTTTTTAAAGCACTGTAAATAAATATCTGATCACACCGACGAACAATGCCTACTTCTTGTACAATCTCGCTCTTCCCAAACATTTTGCAATCAGAACTCTGTTTTCAAAGCTCTTGGCAAAGCTAAACACATGTGTTCTCAGGAGACTCCAGGCCAAGCAATGTTTCCAGGCGGTCCCAAACTCGCCCCTCCAAGCGTGGGACGGGAAAGGCCGCGCAACAGGAAATAACTGCGGGCTGCCAAAGGCCGCCCGGAGCGCAAGGGAAGGCGGGGGTCCAGCCTCGCACCCGCCGGGTTAGGTCCTGAGTTCCCGGCTGCGCCGGGGTCGCGGACCTCAGCTTCCTCCCGCCCGCCCCGAGTCCCTCGCCGCAATCCGGGTACCGCCGGCGACGCGGGTCGGCCCCTTCCGGCAGTCTCCGGCGCGCGGCCTGGCCATGCAGCTTCTGCAGCTACTGCTGCCGCGGGGGCTGCGGCTCGCGGGGCTCGGCGCGTCCTCCGGCCTGGCAGCCGCGGCCCGAGGAGTCCCCGCCGCCCGCCGCGGCCGCCCGCCCCCGCTCAGCCCCTGCGCGCCGCCCGCCAGCGCCCGGCCCCGCCCCGGCCTCCGCCTAACTCTGGGCCCTGGGCCGCAGCGCCCGGCCGCCGCCGCCGTCACCACCGCCGCCGCAGCCCGCCCTGACGCGCCGCCTCCTCGCGCCGCGACCATGGAGCACCCCGGAGAGGGTGAGACCCCGCTGCCCAGCGGGCCAGGGGGCGGTCGGAGCCGCGAGGGCGTGGGCTCCGCTTTGCGCTCGGCCTCCTGGAGGGCCGGGCCTCCGGGCAAGCCCGACCCCCGGCGGCCCGGCTCGGATCCCGTTTGTGTCTCCACAGGCACTCAGTGTAGCACCGAGGAACCCGGCTCGGATTCCGTTTGTGTCTCCACGGGGACTCAGTGTAGCACCGAGGAGCCGAGCGAAACCGCATTTTGAGCGGTGCTGCTCCTGACGCAGGTTTTGGCGCGACTTGGAGGCGAGGGGTGTGAACCCAGCCCCATTTCGCTTTTGTTTTCGTCTTTCTGCCCTTGTGACCCTTAGCGTGTAGTTCCTGCTAACACCCTCACCTCAGAGGTGTTGGCGTGGTAACCAACACCCAGAGCAATCTCAGTTTTATATGACAAGTATAAAAACCTCGAATCAGCAAACCATTTCGTTTAGGATTTTATTCCCGAGTTGGAAACGACCGATTTAAAACTGGCGCCAAGTCTATACTAGCGCCCCGCGTGAATTTCCGGCTTGGGTCAGCATTTGCTGCAAAATGAGCTTTGTGGGCAGAGCAAGGGCGGGGTTAGGTGCAAGGGACCAAGAACCAATGAGAGGAAGGTTGCTCCTCCAAAACCCCAACCTGTGAACGTCTGTAATTGAAATAGCTGGTAACAATTGTCAGTGCTAATGGGTGATTAAGATCTTGTGGGCAGGTGCCCCAGGTGTGAGTTTGTGAGATGCATTTATAAAATGCGTGGGGTTGCTTAGGAGAATAGGACGGTAAAACTGAAAAGAGTCACAGCTCACTACTTGTGCTGTGACCTTGTAATTCAGGATTCTGGTAGTATATCTAGTGTGTCTGTCTTTTACGAATGCATTGTGCATCAACAAGGTTTAAGGGGTTTGGGGAGGTTATTTCCTCCTTTCCTTCCATGGCAAATGTTACTGTTTTGTTCTTTTCTCCCTAGTAATTTGGATTGTACTTTTTTTTTTTTTTTTTTTTTTTTTTTGTGATGAGGAAACCAAAGCGTGGAGGTCAAGTGACTTGTTGATTAGCACATAGTTCTCAACATCATCCAGATGGAAGAAGCTACTATTTTTAGTATCCAAGCCAGAACTAGTGGATGGCATTGGCCCTTTGTACAGCCTAACCCTGACCGAGTGATTAGAGAGGGAGCCTTGCTAAATAAAGTTGTATTTTATTGTCCAAATAGAAAACTTGCATTTTGTGTGACAACAGGCAAATGGTGTATCTTTTTCCTTCCTCTGTTGGCCTTTGTTGAAGTCATGCTAAAGTGCACTTATATTAGAATGTTAGCATATTTATTTATTTATATTTTTGACAGGCAGAGTTAGACAGTGAGAGAGAGAGAGAGAGAGAGAGAGAGAGAGAAAGAAAGGTCTTCCTTCCATTGGTTCACCCCCCAAATGGCTGCTACAGCTGGTGCGCTGCACCGATTTGAAGCCAGGAGCCAGGTGCTTCCTCCTGGTCTCCTATCTGGGTGCAGGGCCCAAGCACTTGGGCCATCCTCCACTGCCCTCCCGGGTCACAGCGGAGAGCTGGACTGGAAGAGGAGCAACCAGGACAGAATCCGGCGCCCCGACCGGGACTAGAACCCGGTGTGCTGGTGCTGCAGGCAGAGGATTAGCAAAGTGAGCCACGGCGCCAGCCAGAATATTAGCGTATTTTAAATATATGGTTTATAATATATTTTAAACGTGGGCAAAGTTGTTTTCTTTATGAAAGTCATACTCAAAAGCATTTGAATAGTGGAAGTGGGAAACATACAAATATATTCAGTATAATTGTGGCAGGCTTTAATTTGTATCCTTTAGTCTTTTCCTACATAATTGTAAATATTAGAGCAGTTGCAGTTTTATATCTGCTTTATGAAAAATGCTTCTTGTAAACCTTTTTGCTATTGTTGCCATCTTCATAGCAAATATTCTTAGTTGTCATAGGAGTGAGTATGCTGTTTAGCCATTAGTTATTAAATTCCTTCACTTTTTTGGGTTTGTTTAAGCAAAGCTGTTGTTCATCTGTTTTGTCATATGTGATAAAACTCAGATGTCAGTAAGAACATTAGAGGAAGCATTTTCCCGCTTCCCTCTCGATTCCTGATGATTGATTTCTTTTTTTTTTTTTTTTTTTTTTTGACAGAGTGGACAGTGAGAGAGAGAGACAGAGAGAAAGGTCTTCCTTTGCCGTTGGTTCACCCTCCAATGGCCGCCGCGGCCGGCGCGCTGCGGCCGGCGCACCGCGCTGATCCGATGGCAGGAGCCAGGAGCCAGGTGCTTTTCCTGGTCTCCCATGGGGTGCAGGGCCCAAGCACCTGGGCCATCCTCCACTGCACTCCCTGGCCACAGCAGAGGGCTGGCCTGGAAGAGAGGCAACCGGGACAGAATCCGGCGCCCCGACCGGGACTAGAACCCGGTGTGCCAGCGCCGCTAGGTGGAGGATTAGCCTAGTGAGCCGCGGCGCCGGCCTGATGATTGATTTCTGAAAGGAGCAGCTCAGGTTACAGTGCTATAATGTTTTGAGGTGCCAGGGTAGGGTGCCAGAAAGGGCATGTCATGGTGGCAGAGTGCTTTGGTTCAAATTCCATACCTGAGACCTGGTAGTTGTAACAGGTGAGTGTCATAGTATGTTGCTGATGGCGAGGTTTTGTGGTTTAAAGGAGTTACTCTGTGTGAAGTGCCTCTGTGCCTAGCATAGAATTCATCCGCAAGCTGGTGCTGCTGGTAGTTTACCAGCTCCGTCTCATCTGTTGGTTATTAATGCAGTTAGTCTTGTAATTTTTATTTGGATTTGCACAAAAGATAAAAATTTCACTACAGTTTGACCCTATTTTAGGAGAATTTAAAACACTTTAAACAATGCTTAATTAGATTAAATCTGAACACAGTTTAAGTGCTTTATTTCAGAGTCGGTTATTTTAGGTCAACTTTCCAAAAGCAAAGTGGTTATACTTTCTGTAAGTGTAGTTATAATGGATAAATTTAATTTGTGATTATCAACTTTTGCCAAATGCTAAAGCTTAGGTAGGTGGAGGAAGGGTTCCAAATCTTCAGTTTGAGAAACATTGTTCTGTAGAAGGACCAGCAGTTCTTTCAAGACTTAACTTGAAAGTGGCACACTGTTTTTTTTTTTTTTTTTCTTGAGTGAACAAGCCTGCCCACAAAATTGCCTCAGGTATTCCATTATTTAATAGCAAATAGTAGCAAATAGTTTTAATTTCACATTCTAGACTCCTTCCTGTCATTTTTTTTTTTTTCAGTTTGAGAGGCAGATGGAAAGAAAGACAAACACACATACACCCAGCTCTTATGTTCTGGTTTCACTCCCCGAATGCCCTTAACGGCAGAAGTTGGCCTAGAGCTGGAACCAGGAGCCTGGACCTCAATCCAGGTCTCTTACATGGGTGGCAGGAACCCAATTACTCGAGCTGTCCCTGCTACCTCCAAGTACTGCATTGGCAGGAAGCTGGTAGACTTCTCTCAATTTTGATGTGACATTGCATTTGAGTTTATTATGCTGTATTTAACAAGATGAATGATGTTGGGCAAGTCATGTCATGCTTTAAAGTTTATTTTTACGTCAAATGAAATAGTTGTTTCCTTCCGTTATTCAGCCTGTGAAACTAAGAGAATATGGGATGTGCTGAGACTGATGGTAAATAATGGGAATTATTTTTCATGGGCCTTGACATAGCTGCTTTGCAGTGTAGCCTGAATGATTTATTAACCAATCGCAGATGTGTACTGACCTTTTCCCAGTTATTTGGTAAAAAATTCTGGAGCACCTAGTGTGAGATGAATCAGTGCTAAGTATAGAGGAATCAAAGGAGAGTAAGACAAGGCGCTTAAGGAACTTGGGGAAGGGTACTACAATTACTGAAGGGGTGTGATTATGGAAAGTTCCCCCATTTACTTTCGTAAGTGTTCTGGTTTCAGTAGTTAATTATATGGTCAACTTTATCTTAGAGTCTAGTGGAAAAGACAGACAAGTGCACGTCTGTAACATAATGCACACGTGACTGGAGGAAGCACAAGCTACCTGGAGGAGACTGGGTTACCTAACTTCCCTGATGATGGAGGTCTGATCTGAGTTTTGCCTTTGGAGTTGATTTTTCTCACCTGTTAACACAGTTGCTTAGTCTGGTATAGGAGCAAGGTATGGGAGCAGTGAAAGGAGTCTTTTGAAGAAGTGGATTTCAAACATTTCTTGCACACTGGAGTCATTCTGTGAGGTTTTTTTTTTTTTTTAAGATTTATTTGTTTGGGCTGGCGCCGCGGCTCACTTGGCTAATCCTCTGCCTGCGGCGCTGGCACCCCGGGTTCTAGTCCCGCTTGGGGCACAGGATTCTGTCCCGGTTGCTCCTCTTCCAGTCCAGCTCTCTGCTGTGGCCCGGGAGTGCAGTGGAGGATGGCCCAAGTCCTTGTGCCCTGCTCCCGCATGGTAGACCAGGGAGAAGCACCTGGCTCCTGGCTTCAGATTGGCCAGCGCGCCGGCCGCTGCTACGCTATAGCAGCCATTTGGGGGGTGAACCAACGGAAAAAGGAAGACCTTTCTCTCAGTCTCTCTCTCTCTCACTGTCTAACTCTGCCTGTCAAAAAAGAAAAAAAAAAAGATTTATTTGTTTGTTTACTTGAAAGGCAGAGAGAGAGAGAGAGAGAGAGAGAAAGAGATATCTTCCATCTGCTGATTCACTACCCAAATGGCCACAATGGCCAGGACTGGGCCAGGCCAAAGTCAGGAGCAGGGATCTAAGTACTTGGGCCATCTTCTGATCTCCCAGGTGCATTAGCTGGATATGCAGTGGGGTAGGTGGGACTTGAATCAACACTTTCAATTCGGATGCCTGCATTCATGTGCAGTGTCCTAATCTTCAATGTTTCCAATTTACTTAGCTTGGGATAGGATCCTGGTAATTTTTAAAAAACTTTTATTTGTTTATTTGAAAGAGTTACAGAGAAGGGGGGTAGAGGCAGAGATGGGGGTAGGGAAGGGAGGAAAGGAGGGAGAGAGAGAAAGAGAGAAAGAGAGAGAGAGAAATATTTTCCAAACGTTAGTTTACTCCCTTAATGGCTGCAACAGCTGGGGCTGGGCCTGGCCAAAGCTGGGAGCCAGGAGCTTCTACTGGTACTCCCACGTAGGTTCTGTGGCCCAAGGACTTGGGCCATCTTATGCTGTTTTCCCAGGTGCAGTAGTAGGGAGCTGGCTTGAAAGTGGAGCAGCTGAGACTCGAACCAGTGTTTTTAGATGGGATGACTCCCTCTGCCGCAGCACAGGCCCCATCCTGGTAATTTTAAAAGCTTGTCAAGTGCTCTTAATGTGCAGCCAGTTGTCATCATTCTTGTTACTGCGTGAGTGTCCCTTTGCTATAGCCGGAGTAACCCATTTAGCTCTTGCTCTCTGTTTAATTGAGCCCAAATGAACTAAAAGTTAGACTGTCAAGATCTTTTTCATTAATGACCATAACAGCTAGGGCTTGGCCAGAATGAAGCCAGTAGCCCGGAAATCCATCCAGGTCTCCCACGTGGGTGGCAGGGACTCAAGTACCTGAGCCATCAGGCAGTGCTTCCCTGGCATGTTAGTAGGGAGCTGGATCAGAAGCAGAGTAGCTGGGTCTCCCAACTGGCACTCCAGTATAGGATGTGAGCATCCCAATGCCAGCTTAATGCTCTGTGCCTCATTGCCCTAAAATTTGAACTGTATTATAAATAGTAGTATTATTAAGTACATAGTATTAATTTTCTGGGGGGCATTGGACTAATTAAAAAAAAAACTTGCTATTTTTTGCTTTTATTCAACATAACGTGTGTGTGTGTGTGTATGTGTGTAAAATGCTGGAACTGAAAACTCCAAGGATGGCACTTGACATACTGAGGACTTTGATCCAAATAAGTAGGTTAAAGGATTCTCTGACAACCCCCTGTTTTCTAGTTTATCTCCCAAAGCTCAGGGAGACTTTCTCTCAAGTTCCCTCAGGTAGTTCCAAGACGCAGTTGTCTTTAATCCCCATCCTGAAATCTCATAAACCTGGGAAGATTAGTCACTGAGAAGAAACTAAAGATCATCACCACACCTGCCTGTACAAAGCTTTCTTCTGTTCTTAAGGTTGTTATCTGAGTTTTTATTTGCATAGCAAGACAGGCTTTCTTCACAGTGCACCTCACCTTCTCGAGTCTAGAGGGGCTTTGTCCCAGGCTATTTGTTTTTCTAGTCCACTCATCTCCCCTAAAAGTTGTTTACCTTTTCTCTAAAATTACTAAAATTACCTATACCCCTATGCCCCTCTGCTATATAAAGAGGGTATTTAAGCTTCAACCATCTGGCTCTTCTTTTGAGTTCTGTGTTCTGGGTCACTCCCATGCACTTGCACATTAAAAAAAATTTGCCTTTTCTCCTGTTAATCTTTCGATTCTCAGTTTATTTCAGCAGACTCTAGAGGCTAGAGGGGAATTCCCTTTGCTCACATGAATGATAACAGGAATGACTCAAGTCAAGACAAACAAAAATTTAGATTAAATAAAAATATCTGTTTTCATTTTTATTTGAAAGGGAGAGACAGAGAGATAGATAGAGAGATGTCCTCCACCCACTGGTTCATTCTCCAAATGCCTGCAGTAGCCAGAGGTGGGCCAGGTCAAAGCAAGGACCCAGAATTCAATCCAGGTCTCCTATGTGGATGGCAGGGACCCAAGTCCTTGAACTTGGGTCATCTGTTGCTTCACAGGAAGCTGGATCAACAGCAGAGAACCAGGCACTCCTTGTGATGGGATGCAAGGGTCCCAAACAATGGCTTTGCCAAGTGGTAACCTAACCCCAAACTACACACCTGCCTATAGACATTTTTTTGTAAGTAACTATGACCTATCATGATATTTATTATATTGTATGTGGAGGTGTTTTTCAGGTATTATATTTGAGAATAGAGGATTACAATAGAATGAAATATATGAGTTTTGAAGTATCTTGGGTTATAAATTAGTTATTAGTAAATACTTACAGTAAAAATTACATGAAGTATCAGCATTCTATTCAATAATAGTTAAAATGTTTGTGTCTAGGTATACAGGATAATGACAGTGGGAAAACCACCAACTGGTAAATTTAGAACTTAACTGTATCAGTTTAAACAGATATTCTCCTTCCCCTACCCTTTGCACAAGATATATGATTCTTCTCCCGCATAACAAGAAAACAACATAAAGGCCAAATGTGAAATGTGGTTTTAATGTTGGTACATGACCGTGGGAGAGCTCTTAGGGAAACTGTAAGGTCATTTTCTTTTTAATAATTGATTTTCCAGAAAAGCTTATTTAGAGCCATGTATTTTAAACTGAATTTAAAATGTTAAATATAATAATGGAAACATCTTAAAAGTCTCTCGAAGAAAAGAAAGGTCATAACTTGTGCAACTGAGAATACAGAAATGATCCTGTTAAAAATAAATGTGAAAAAGACTGAGAAAACGTTAGTTTGTTTTCAAAAGGTATGTGGAAAAAGTGCAGTTTTGTTAAGAAAAAGTACAGCTGCAAATGACCTTGAAGATTATTGATTGAAATAGTCCTCATCTAGCCCTGAATTGAATGCTCTGCTCTAGAAAGTGATTCAAGCTTGTTTAACATGAAAATGGATTTATAAAAATATAGAATGGAGTATAAATAATGTTTATTCAAATTGCTTTACAATATATTTTCATGGTGTTGTAAATTTCTTCACAGTACAAGTTGACATTGAATTCAGTTAGCTGAGTTGTTTTGGTTTAGAATGTGAGTTAAAAATAGGTTTAATAATACAGTTTTCTTTTTGTGATACATTAAAGGAGGACTGAATCCCAGTGAGTGTGAAAATATGACAAGAAATGAAATGTCAGAAGAACTTGAAATGGATACAGTGGATTCTTTGATAGACATGCCATTTGCTACTGTAGATATTAAAGATGCTTGTGGAAGTAAGTACTTTATTATTATAAATAGAGATTTAGGAGCAATGACTAGTAAATTTAGTTATATATAATGTTTTCATTAATAACTTATTCACTTTAAATACATGTCATATTTTGAATTTTGGTTATCTGTGTCTGTTGGTATTATATTGTGAAACCTGTCCTGGGTTTTAAAAACTCACAAAATTTGGGACCAAATCATTCTGTAGTTTGTCAGCTACTTCTGAATATTATGGGTCAGATCGCTCTATGGTTTATAGCCTCTTTCAGTTGCTCTGGAGCCACTATTAATCTCAGCAGTTACCCATTCATCTAACAGTTTCTTCCTGGATGATTGTCCAGGCATTGGGAGGTCCATCAATGACTAAGACTGACATTATCCTGCCCTCATGGAGCTAAACAGGCTAGTGTTGAAAACAGTTACACTTTTCATTATTGGATTTATTGGATCAATTCAGTCCTTGAGAGCTTAGTTCACAAACTTTAGAGGACCAATGGTTACTTGTTTGAATTCCTGCTAAAACTATATAAATATCTAAATCTGAATTTCATGTCATAAAAATAATACCATATGTGATATTTGGGGCTACCTCCACTGAAAATGTGACAGATTTGCCTGTTGCCCTTGTGAATAGGAAAACAAGGAAAAAAACAAAATTATTCAAAATTATTTACTGATGACATACTCTGCGCCACGCATGGCTGGTGGTTTTACAAAAAGTTTTGCTATGACTTGATAGGGTGTCATCATGTCTTCTAGCTTCATTAAGAAATTACTTAGTTCAGTCTCTTCATTTTGAGAAAACTAAGACTTAAAGAAGTTATGACTAAAGTCATACAGTTGAAAGGAGGCATAACATCTATGATTTCTGATTTCTGATTCATTGGTCATTTCTCTGATGAATATTTATTGGATGCCCAGAAAATGTCAGGCATTGTGCTAGACATTGGTGGTACTGACCTTGGCTCTCAAGAAGTTCACAGCTTGATTAGCTTAATTAACATGTTAACAGCCACAATCTCATAATGTAAGTGCCATACAGGATTTGATTGTTGTTTTTAGCTGTTGTTTATAATCCTGTGGAGCTGAGGTCTTTCTGCTTTTTATTTATTGAATATTGTGGTCAGTGGTTCTTTAAGCCTGTGAGTATAGAGTGGAGTGAATTATGTTTTTTTGCAAAAATTAAAGAAAAAGGAAGGAAGTAGAGATTGAGGAAGGGAAATAGAGGGAAGGAAGTATAGTTATCTTCTTAGAATTGTACCTATGAAATATATGAAGTCTTTTTTTATATTAATTAAAAAAAAACTCTCAAAGAATTAAAAAAAATTGGATGCATGGGGGAGGAGGATGTCCAGGAAGGTGTCCTAGAGGTTTGGCTGGAGTCGAGGCTTGGGGGATAAAAGTATGATCCATCTAAGGCTCTTGCCTGTACACAAACTGCCCTTGAACTTGCCTGATGAACAGAATTTTCCACAGAGCCTTGTAGAAGTACAGATTCTTCTTTTCCAACTTTGCATCAAGTCAGGGAATCTTGTTTTTTGGACATCCCAGCTCATTCTGATGCGCAGTGAATCTCAGAAGCCACACTAGTCTGTCACACTATCTTCTGATTGCAGTGAACCTGGTTCATGTTCTGGGGGGTGTTACAAAGTCGGGGGTTTACTTAAAATGTATTCGATCTCTGGTATTTTATTAATCTACTTTTCCTACTTCATAATCCAAAAAAGGGAAAAAAGAACATGATGAGGTTTTGGCTTAGCCAAGCAGGTTTTTCTCCACTTTTCCTTTACAGCTGGCAGATAGAGAAAGACAACGTTAGTCACTTTCACAACTGTTAGGGTACCGTCATTTGAAGAATTTGCCCACTTATTAATTAGCAGAAGTTTTTTTTTTTTTTTTTTGAAAAGAGAGGCAAGGATAGCAAGAATTAATGTGCTACTCTTAATTCTCAACTTCTTGAGCACATAAAGTGAATGTATTTAAAACTTTAAATGATTTCTTTCTGATTTGGTTACTTTCTTTCTCTAGTTTAACAGAAAATAAAGAAAAATTCTTATAAATCTTTATGTCTCATGCCCATAGTGAGCATCACCCATCCACACTTCTTCCCCCTGAGCCCTATTGGAGTCTGTCAGTCACTCCCATTGGCACACAGATAAGTCAGGCGGTAACAAGAGAGTCCTGTTTACCATTCTGACTGCAGGTACTTCTGACTTAGACATATACATATTTGCTATCTTTGAACTGCTTCCACTAGGGCTAGAGAGCAAGATACTTCTAGAATCCTGGAGAGCAAATAGTAGTCCAATAGCCACTCTGTCCTTACAGCTCTACTACCAAGGAGACCAAATTACCAGAAAGAAGGAAGGGAACGCTTTTGTGGCCTGCTTTTCATTCCTGTTCTGAGAGGGACAGCTGCTTTTCCAGAGGATGGTTATTGAAGGGGGGGCAGTGCTTCATATGAATATGATATTTTCTCTGCAGTGGTATATTTCTTCTCTTTTTCTTTTTTTGAGATTTAAAAGAAAGATGTATTAGAGTCAAAGACCACCAGCCAGAGTGGTATGGACTGGGGCTCCAAGAAGTGCAAGGCCTGAGGGGCTGGTGGTACTGTGATTTTAAGCATAATTTTGGGGAAGAAAAAAATCTTGACATTCAGTTACAAGGTGGGGGCAAAACCCATCAAAAAGACTTGATTTGCAGTCTTTTATTCTGTCTGTCTTGCTAATGATAAAACAAAGAGCCATCAGAAGGGTGGGATACTTAATTCGATTTACAGTAAATTGGGAGCTCAGGAGGAATCACTACTCCCCTACTATTCTCATGATAAGATTGGAAGCTTTCAAGGAGTAGTCAGGCAGGCACTTTTGACCTTGCTAAAGATTTTGCACCCTCAGTTTCCACTGAGACCATCCTGACTGCCTATTAACCCATCTGATTCCTCATATTCCTCCTGCCACCCAGAAGAATGGACCCTAACTTCTTTTAGGGGAACTGGGTGATGACTGCTGTGGCTGCTTCATGCTGAAAAGGGACATCATTGTGAACAGCAGTCAAGACAGGGTTCCAGCCGGAGGTGGCTTCTTGACGGTGATGGCAGTGCCAGCTTGCAGAAACTGCTTCTATCCGAGCTTTCATGTGCATGGCCATCTAGAATTTCAGTTTCAGGTATGGAGAAAATGAATCTAACATGCAGATTAAACTCACGGTGTCTAAAACAAAGGACAGAGTCATTATTAGAGGACCTAAGAAAGGTGCTGTCTAAACCACTAGCAAGTTTTCCCATTGAGAGGCAAATAGAAACAACAGGAGGTATCTGATAACAATCAAGTGGGCTAAAGTCTGGCCAGCTATATATGAGGTCCAGACCTATCTCTTCACATGGGGTACTGGAAGAGACATCATAAGGGAGGTGTATACTTCCTTAGGGGAGGCGCCCTATTGACTTCCATTACCGAGATGGCCTGGGAGGAGAGCTGGCCTGAATAGAAGGTAGGTGGCATCTCTAAAAGGAAATTTACAGTTCTGCCTACAATATTACTGACCCTACTTGGCTTTTCCCTCAACAGTGGTGGTTACTTTGGAAGCTGCAGTGAAAGAAGGGCTTTTTTTTGGCTTAGAGCCAACAGAGTCTGTGGTTCTGACCTGGGAGTCCTTCAACCCCCTACAGCAGTTCTGTTTCCAGAGCTGCCAGGGCTTTTTGTAAGCTGACTTCTGCTGAAGCCCTGGGCCTTTCCACATTAAAAACCCATGTCAATTGCAGTGGACTATCCTGTTGGGTCTTCTTGATGGCAGATCACTGTGTAAAGTAGCCATTAATTAGCCTGCCACCTATCTTTAAATTGCTTCGCCTGCCTAGTTTGCTCCTTTTCTTCTGGTTTCTGGGAAAGTAGACCAGAGGAAACCTTTAAGAGGATGCAAGTCAAGGGGTGCTCAGTCCCATGATGGCTTAAACTAGAAATCTATAGCCACAGGCATGTTCTTTTTTTTTTTTTCAAAGATTTATTTATTTATTTGAAAGTCAGAGTTACACAGAGAGAGGAGAGGCAACGAGAGAGAGAGAGAGAGAGAGAGAGAGAAAGAGGGAGAGGTCTTCCATCTGCTGGTTCACTCCCCTGATGGCCACAACGGGACAGAGCTGTGCTGATCCGAAGCCAGGAGCCTCCTCTGGGTCTCCTGCATGGGTGCAGGGGCCCAAGGACTTGGGCCATCTTCCACTGCTTTCCCAGGCCGTAGCAGAGTGCTGGATTGGAAGAAGAGCAACTGGGACTAGAACTGGCGCCCATATAGGATGCTGGCGCCTCAGGCCAGGGCGTTAACCCACTCACTGCGCCACAGTGTCGGCCCCGACAGGCATGTTCTGATAGTGGTTTTTCTGTGAGGTAGACAATGCCCATGAGGACAGCTATGTCCTCACTTTAACATCAAACATGAAGACCACCTTATCTATAAAATTCGAAGTCATTAGTGAAACTTTCCCTCCCTTCGTTTGGTTTGAAAATGGAGGTTTTACCTGTTAACTATGCCCATGGTGAGATAAATCTAGCTGTGAAATCATAATTTCTTCTATATGTAGCCAGGCTGTTATTATAGAAAATTGTTATCCATCCCTTTTATAAGATCTAAAGATTAAGCTGTACATCCTGGAGAGTCCTTCAGTATAGAGCCAGTTTCCCATCTTGAAGAGAATAGAGAAATGAGGGAACAAGTCAGCCTTCCTAGATTGCTACTGTCAATAACTTAATGTCAAATGAAAATTTAGCAAGCAATGTTAACTGTTAAATAACAGCTTACGAAAACATTTAGCAGAAGATCCAGTGACTTCCATAAATTTCAAGACAAGAGTACATGTATTTGGAAACATCGTTTAAATATCTAACACAAGTGTAACTTGTTTTACTAGCAAAGCCAAGTACAAACATGTCAGTGACTTAAACATTTTTAGTTTCTTTCTACCAACAATCTTAAAACATCTGATACAGAGATTTATTTAGGTCATGTAAAC